GACGTCGGGCCAAGCGCCGAGGAAGCGCCTGCAAAGAAGAGGAAGGCCCCAAAGAAGTAAGTGCTTCGTCAGAGTATGCGATTTACCCGATAAATCGAATTGATACCTACGTCCATCAGTGTATAGATTTCCGATTTTTCAAAAAAAAATTCAAAAACTACACTTGGGTACACTGGAGTGGTAACACAAAACTGGCAAAACTGACCTTTTAGAGTACGAATTAGCGTAAACCGAGGCCACCACTGGATTCCTTGGGCGATTTTGGATCTAATTCACCAATAAAAAAATCGACTTCGACGTCCTTGACGGAGATAATTTTTTGGTCAGCCGATTTCTCCGAAACGGCTGAATGGATTTCTTCGTTTGAGGGCTCTACGGACGGCGGAGATACAGGGCTTTTCAAAGATGTACCTTAGACGCTTATTAATTAATGGTTGATTAGTAGCTTTTTGTTTGACGCAGTCTCATATCAGTTTACGCTGCTGGTACTGAGGGTTGAGTCAACAATATCCTTCAGTTCATTTAAAGACTTTGAGGGGTTTTATTTGAATAGTCAAAGTTCAGTTAGCATATATATATATATATATATATATATATCAACAAATTTGTCGATCGGTTTTCAAGACGTGGGTTGAGTCTCATACTTGTGGCTGCTAAGTAAAGCTCTGCACCTCTAATTCGGCAGAGTGGACTATATTACTAGGAGTACGCGACGCTGGGATAAGATCTGACCCCTTTGTTTATTATCTATAAGTAACTAGTACCTCGGATACATACTCATGAACTACAAAATACACTATCTAACTGGTACAATTATCGATTCTATGCGTGCCAAAACTGTAGAGGTTCGCAACCAGAGGGAATGTACGATACGGAGACGGATGGGCATCGCTACAAATAATATCTAGTTCGAGGAAGCAATAAGGTACTTGTGCTTTGACTGAAGAGACCCTACAGATCTTAGCATTATAAAAAGAGATGCTTACCCACGAATTAACGCATCTACTGCACCTGATTCGCAGCCGCGGCATCTGCCCTTCGTGTAGGAACCAATTTCAAATCGATTATATGACCTGTGGTAATATATTTTTGGGAAATGCCACGCTCATGTATTTGCCTTTCAGTGTCTTCTATCATTGTAAGAAGAACATTTAATATGAACCTAGACATGGGAAATAGCTAGGCAAAAATGAGTTTGAAAACAATTTATACATCTTCGTAATACAATTTCTGCCGATTATTAGGTACCGATGAGATTCTCTAATGCAGTAAATGATTGTGTTCTTCGTCTTGACGTCAGCTATAATCCTAAGCGGTTCACCTCTGTCTTCTCACTAGCAAGCTATCACTAAAAAAAAATTATTTGGTCATTCCGGAATTTGTGTTGAAATATCGAAGCTTTTGGGAGGCAGGTTATCATTACTGACGTCCTGGGACCTGTATCGGTATACTGGGATGACCATCCCACCGAATTAATCCTTGTTGGGCTTTCTTCAAAGAGCTCTAAGACGGTTGGTTTTTGGAGCTGGAGTATTGTAGCACACACTTCAGGAGTAGCAAGTCCTTATTTCTATGGCTTAAACGAAAACAACTGGCCTGGAAACGCGGTGTCGTATGCATTGTAGAATGCGCGCCAAATTTCAGCCTTTGGGCTGCTTGTCGAGTCGAGCTTCAAAACGGTCTTATATACGTCGTCTGGATTCAGTTTGCCAATCATCCACTGTTTGAACTGAGCCTGTTGCAAGTTCTTCGCGATCCTGGCTGTGTGTGCATCTGACCCCTTTGTCGCCGCTTGCAGCATCACAGCCAGCTTCTCGTCGCCGTAGCTCTTGGTGAAAGACTTGATCATGCTTGTCTGAGCGAACGGGTATTGCTCGTTAAACTTCTTCATGTACTCCACCCAGTTGCTTAACCATGGTTTGGTGAGTAAATCGTCCACAGCCTCGTCAAGCTTCAACTTGTTGAAGACGTTTTGCGGATGCATAGGTTGATCCAGCCACCCGGTCGCTAGTTCGTCCAGATATTTCTGAGTCCTGGGGTTGTCAATATTATCTGCTGAACTCAGAAGCTTGAGTAAGTCATCCTCTTCATAAAACTTCTTGAAAACATCCAGTTCAGAGATGCTTTTCTTGTTCTTATTCTTCTCGTTGACAGCCTTTAAGAAGGCGGCCCAAGTAGTGAATTGAGGACTGTCAAAAAAATTGTCAATTTTCTGATTCAGCTTCATCGCCTCGAAAATTGCATCCGGCCTGGACCCATGACTGAGCCAGCCGTTGATTTTCGCCTCCTTCAGCTTCGTAGCGACTTCCTTTGTCTTTGGGATCTTCGCCGCGGCAGCTAGAATCTCAAACGCTTTGTCGACGCCAAATTGAATCATCATTGCTGAAGCTAGTGACCCTTCCGGATTATTATTATTATTGCGTTTGACGACAAATGCGGCCCAGTTCTTCCATTGCGGACTCTCCAACAGGTTACCCGTCGCCTTGTTCACTTCAAAAGCCAGAAAGGCTTTCTCCGCAGGTGTGTTTTTCTTTAGCAGTTCACTGACTTTCGGGTCTAGGCGCAAGTCCTTTACCAAGTTATGGTCGTTATCCTACTACACCAGTATTACGTACAATTATTACTTCAAAATCGGAATAATCAACAGTAGTGTACGTCAGCGACAGAATTGAACCCACAAACACAATTAGCGATGCATATTACCTTTCCTTGGCTAATAGAGCCCGTAGAATAACTTTGATCAAGTATGCCAAGGCTGGCCACGATAAGGCGGTTGGTGCAGTACACATTCATGAAATTTAGCAGGATTCGGACTATACTTCAATCGACGCCGAAATAAAGCAATGTATGTAGATTTTAATTAGAACATGTATGCACAGCATGTCACCATCCACAGATTTTCGGAGTGGAGATAGCATTGACAAAAACGAAAGCAAGGTTCCTCTGTCATCTGAAAGAGACGAGTCACCAATCTAACTCCACTTCGAACACTCCACACGACATGGAGGCATCAGCTCTCCGTGAAGTTAGTCGAAGCACTACATTTACAAAAGTCCGGTATGAGACTCGAACAAACGAGCACGCAGTACGCACTTGATCAAAGTTCGTGAGTGTGTTCACCGCCGTTTGTTTATTGTTTATCTCTACTCGGTCGGACTTGCAGGCGTCCACTAAAGAAATGCACCTCAACGTCTAGGCGTTCACTCCGAGCTAGCCCGCCTTCTACAATGGACTGGGACCTGAAGGGAACACCCTAACACTTTTCAGTCGACTTCACGATGACGATGTAGTGTCACCGTGTCACCAACCTGCTACATGGCTGTCCACGGCAGCCTGGCCGTACGGGCAGTCGGTTTCGTTCATGGAGACATGAAAAAGCCTCCATCTTCGACGACGGGTTGTAAATTGCAGGAAGCCTACAGACGTGCACTAACAACTTGCATTGCGTGACGAGAAAGAAGAGAGACTCACCTGTACAGAATCCTTTTTTTTACGCGCGTTGAGCTAGTACTCATAACGAAATGACATGTTGAAGTGAGGGCTTTTTGGTGGACTAAGATTACGAAGCCCCCAAAATGATTTAAAGTATAATACGCGTATAAAAAGAAAGCTAATGAAATAAGGAATGTTATATGGACCGCAGCAGCTTTATTGAGCTAATATTGATGATTAATATATGAGCGATGATCGTTTGAATGTTGCCACTTGCAAAACTTGAACCTGAGGATAATATAAATTGTATACTTCATGAATACGAGTAACAACAACTGAGTATACCACGATCGCGTTTGACGATGCCAGACTATTTGGAGACTGCCCTCACACAAAGCTTCCTATGAAAGATGGAAATACCTGACTTGGTATAATAATACAGTTTGATTACGGTATAAATGAATCAGGGGACATGAATTAATCCCAGTTGGGCTGTACGTTATTTCGTACCGAAGCACTATCAGTATCAATCCCAGTTAGAATGTACCTTTGCTTCGTACCGAAGCACTACCAGTGTTAATTATTTTTCAAGTCGGTTCGATCTCAAACGCTCAAGCTATCTTGTTGTACTGTGAATTTCGTTCCAATTTGCCGATTTGGGTCGGACAATCGCTCACATTCAAATCCAAGTCATTAGTAGAACCCACCAAGTATGTTCTTCACGATCTTATTTCGTACTTAAACGGACAGTATACGGAATTGTATACGCTGGGCGAATTGGGGGCAAAGAACCGCCCATGGAAATTTTGAGTAGACCTCACAATATGGGTATTAATGGAAAATGCCAAATAGTGTACCGTACACCCCTCATAAATGCGATGGGAGAGCTGAGCATACAAATTACATTATATCTACCCCAATAGTATACCGCGAACAGAGCTCATTCTCTTCGCTTGGCACCCCCGTTGACAGCCTTGCGAGGTCGTGCTATGCTCTCCATATGAACGACGTACACCACGTCAATTTAGTTATGTCAGCCAAATGATCTTTCTTCGACAATTTTACCGTATTGGAATAGTTATACGCAGGACATCACAATGAGGGCTATGATAGTACAATACACTATGCCTATGGCTTACATAGGGTCCCCATTGGAGCATAGGGATTGTTTTAAAGTATTCAGTATTTTGAAGTCGATTTTGTACCTAATTGATGAGAATGGAACAATTATTCTTAGATATTAAAAATAACTGCTATAGATTACAATGGTAGTTTATAAGGGGTTTAAAAAATAGTATAATCTTGCCAATGCGAAGAAGGGGGCGGGAAAGACCTTGGCAAGTCCGATCAAACATAAAATTACCGCCGCGCTGCGGCGGCGCTCGGCTAGTGTTAGATCAAGTTTAGACGTAAATTTTAGAAAGGGACAACTAGCAAGTTGTTCTACTGCTACTTACCTATTTTTGAGCTCGTACCCATGCGCTCACCTATCGTAACCTCGTACTCCATAGTTGTTCCTGGAAGTAAAACAAACATGTCTATCTTTCAAACAGCAGAAAGGAAGAAATACGCGTATCTATTGGTCTCTTTTAAAACCTAGATAGAGCGGTTTCCAGAAGGATTATATCAATGTCGCCGCAGATTAAAATAGGCATTCCAGTTTTTTACAGTTTGAAGTCATATTCTATGCATTTCAGCCAGAGAAATTAAGCCGAAATATCCGAAGCTGACCTTCCATCTCTTTTGATCTTCTCTAGCAGCACTCTTGTTTATAAGAGTCAATAGCCGAGGAGCCCACGAAATTCTTGGCACGAACTCAGCATGGTATACCCTCAGTAAATCGACAGGAGTCACCGCCGCGCAATTTCGTGGCTCAGCAGTACACCAATGAATACTTGAAGTCAAGGTGGTGAAAATAAGTGTGACGTGTTGACAAAGCACCATCCATGCACTTCTCTTCTACGGGTTAAATGAAAAGAGCTTCCCTGGGAATTCCTTCTCGTAAGCATTGTAGTAGGCGCGCCAAATATCAGCCTTCGGACTACTGGTAGACGTGATCTTCAGAACGGTGTTGTATACTTCGTCTGGGGTCAGCCCAAGGACCATCCAATTCTTGAACTGAGCTTCCTGTAACGTACTGGCGATCTTTGCTGTGTCTGCATCTGACGCCTTCGCTGCCGCTTGAAGCATCGTCGCCACCTTTTCGTCTCCATAGTTTTTGGTGAATGTCTGGATCATGCTGGTCTTAGCGAGCGGATACTTCTCATTAAAGTCTTCCATGTATTTTACCCACCTGCTCAACAGTGGGTTGGTGAGCAGGGCATCTCCAGCCTCATCAAGCTTCATCATGGTGAAGACGTGCTGCGGGTGAAGTGGTTGATCGCGCCACCTCAACAACAACTCGTCCAGATATTGTTGAGCTCTGGGGCTGTTGACATTGTCAGCAGAGACGATCAGTTTGGTCAAGCTGTCCTCTTTATAATACTGTAACAGGACATCCAGTCCAGTGATTTCTTTCTTGTTGCTGTTTTTCGCATTGAACGCCTTCAGGAAGCTGGTCCAAGTAGCGAATTGCGGGCTGTCAAAAAAACTGTCAAACTTCGTGTTGAGCTTCAGCGCCTCGAAGATCTTGTCCGGATCTGATCCAAGACTGAGCCAACGTTTAAGTTGCGCCTCCTCCAGCTTCTCAGCGATCGCTTTGGTTTTGGGGTTCTTCCCCGCGTTAGCTAGAATCGAGGATACTCTATCGAGGCCAAATTGAATTGACATTGCCGAAGAAAGTGCTTCGTCTGGGGTGTCCTTGCTGCGTTTGATGACGAATACGGCCCACTCCTTCCACTGCTGGCTTTCCAAGAGGTTATCAATACCCGCCACTTTTTCCACTTCCAGGGCCTTAAAAGCTTCGTCCACTGGTGTGTTTTTCTTCAGCATCTCGCTGATCTTTGGGCTTAGGTTCACGTTCTCTGTCAAATCATCGATGAGGTCCCAACCGGTTCTTTCCTTCAGCAAGTTCTTGACGAAATCATCGACGTAAGCGAGGGCACCGTCGAATATGCCTCTCTCTTCGCTGTCATGACGAGGCTTGTTGGATCTCAAACCTCTCACAACGGTACGGTCAGTAGGGAGCGAACGGGCGTAACGTGGTGCGGCTATCTTGGAATCCGTCCTCGATACGTCAGCAGATACTGATGTAGCTAGGGCACCAAGCAGCACCACAATGTAGTGAACACGCATGGTAGGCGTTTGAGGGCTTGGTTGCGTCTTCTAGGGCTGATTGTGAAGTGAAGGGAATATTTGTCCGTTTTAATCCACGTATTCCAACTGATCATCACTTTTCTACCCGCAGCTCCAATCTCGTGATGGCAGCAAGGCCATCACGAGATTGGAGCCAGTGGAAAACATATATGTTGATTACGGATGCACCATTATATTCGTAAGTACATCGCACAATGCAAATTGCGCTTACCAATAATTCTTTTTGTCGATATTTATCAGCACATTGACCAAATTCGCAGCACTGCGCACAAATATAATGGCAAATCTTGAATCATGAGCTGTACGCATTGGACACGAAAGAGCTCAACTACATGAGCTACATGTGGTTGACTTCGCAGTGGCGGCTCCAAAAAAATTTTACGGAGAAATTGCATGACGTTATGATTAATAATAGTGAATCGGCGTTGCCGTAAAAATTTCTGAAGCAACGAGTGAAGCACCTTACTAAGCGTTATGCGTTGCAGACGGAACCTTTTATGGCCTCGATCAAGTATCGTCGGCGTAATATACTAGGCATAACAAGAGATAGGAAAGGGGAAAAGGCAGACGCACATTCAGGCATCCCGAAGATAGACCTTATCAAAATTCAGAATCAAAAATACTTGCACTGAGTATTAATAAATGAAAGATATTTACAAATCCAAGAGAAGGCATTATAAGTTATAAAAATTAAGTGGTGGCGAATACGAGGGCCACGACTGTAAAATAATTATTTGTTTCACGTCGGTTTACAGGAGATCGCTGTCGTGTTGTCGGAAATCAATCTCAAACGATCAACTTATATTGTTGTATGGGCATTAACGGAAAATGCCAAATAGTGTATTCGCGCCAAATAGAATACCCCTCTCAAATGTGATGGGAGAGCGGAGCACACAATTCACATTACAACTACCCCATATAGTATACCGAGGACAGACCTCATTCTAAGAACTTTGTTCTTATATACAGTTCTCCACCAACAAGATGTTGTTATAGCAAGATTCCATTAACTCCACCCCCGTGTTGCCTCTCCAAATACATGGCGGAAAGAAAGAGAGAAAAAAGAAAGGAGGTCGTCACCTGAATTAAAAATGTAGCGAGCATCAGTTTAAGTGAAAATGTCACAATAACAATTTCCAAAATGCTTGAAAGTTTGCTGGATTACAAGAACAACAGCTGCGATCAAGCGTCAGGATTGGTTGATAAAAAGCAAATCGTTGGTTACAGAGTGAGGCCCTCTCACTTACTTTTTTACATGTATTTGGTGCAATGACTGTCGACGATACTCAATTCATGTACAGAAGGTGCCCTCGATAAGCGTAGGTCGGGGTTTGTATAGCCTGTCATATCTGCTAATTTGACAGAATGTAAGTACTTTGTATCCAATTGTTTGTGTTCGTATAAATGGTTGAACCCTACGCTTATCGACGATAACTTCTGTAATACTGAAGCCTGTCTGGGTGGCGCGTACAACAAAGAAGCCGTTCACAGAGTAGTATTTGTCACGTAAGTTTACGAAAGTCCGCGCACTAACAAGAGTCGTGCACTTGTCTGCGCTTTTAGTGGCGACGCGCTTTCTTCTTCTTGGACGAGCGACGGTAGTCTTCATCGTCGTCATCGTGATCGCGCTTCTCGTTGCGCATACGGTCAGACGCCTGTGCCTCTTTCTCCAATTCGTCCCAAGACGGTGCGTCCTCGTCCTCCGACGGTTCCTCTGACGAAGATTCTTCGTCCACGATCGACTCCCAGTCCGATCCGTCCGAGTCACTCGAGTCACTATCGTCGTCTTCTTCATCGGAGCCACCCGAGTAGTTGCTATCTCCCGCTTCTTCTTCCTCGTCATCTTCGTCATCCGAGCCTTCCATCTATGCAAACACACACACAAAACAATGTCAGCGTACGTTCTCGTATCTCAATACCCAACACAGCAACGAACCTTGAGGAACTCCCAGCCGGCTGGCTTAGGCACACCATCATCATCAGTATCCAGATAGAAGCGGTGGTCGCTCTTGATCGTGGACATGATACTCTTCCAGTTCAGGTTTGCTGTACCGGTAGTGAAGCAGATATCAATGTCGTCTAGCCACTCCTTGATACGCTCCAGTTCACTCATAGACACGGCGCTGATACGAGTAGGCATGATATCGAAGTTCTTGAACACGAACACGACGTCGAAGTTTTTAGACGAGAACATGACGCGCTCAAAGTGGACGTGCTCCACCTCGTCCAATGAGATGATAAAGAACGGCATATCCGTCAGACTGACGAGACAGTGCACGGACGGCTGCAGCAGCACCATCTCCTTGAATGGCGTACCCATGAAGCCTAGTTCACGGTACGGGATATCGAACACCACGGGCTTGCCATGTCGCTCCGACACGCTCTCCATCTTGTGACAGAACTCCTTGAACGTCGTGTTCAGCTTCTCACGCAATGCACGTTCACGGTTCTCTTCGTCCAGCTCGTCCGGGTCGTACATGGATCGCCGTCGGTTGTCCAGCGTCTGTGAACCTTCGATCACTTCAGTGTAGAACTGCACGTCCTTCTGTTTCTTCTTGCCGATCATAATGTGGTTCTTCAAGTGGAAGTGGATCAGCACCACCAGTTCCTTATCGCAAGGCTGGAAGATCGCGTGTTTAATGTTGGCGTACAGAATGTCAAGCTTCTGGTTCTTGTTCGTAGTGAAGCGCACGCCGTTTGAGTGAGCCTCCAGTGTACCGTGAGTCTTTCGTCCGGTCAAGTGCGGTCGAGCCGAGAGATCAATCAGCCGGGGTACACGACGGTCACGGGTCAGGATCAGGTCTTCTTGGACAACCAGATCGGACTCTTCCTGTTCGCGTTGTTCGCGCTGCTTCACACGCTTCTGGAGCTCTTTGATCAATCGGAACTGGTTGTTCAGATTGTGCGCATCCGTGGAGCGGAAGCCCAGCTCCTTGATGAACATCTTGTTGGGGAATTTAGTGATCGCGTTTGCCATGGCCGGAAGCACGTCACGTCCGAGTGATGTACCAGGAACGTAGAAGTTGATACGCAAGTACGTGGCCTTGTCTTCCTCTGATTTACTCACGTTCTTGATGGTCGAGATGTGGAATGGCACCGGTACACCGTTGATAGGTAGAATGACAGCCTCAGCACGCATATCCACCATAACTTGGCGCTCACGTAGCTCAGACGGATAGTCCTGCGGACCTTGATACGCCTTGATGCTCTTCTCCTTCTTAGGGTCATCCGACTTGTCGTTGTTCTGCTCTTCCAGTCGACGCATGGCTTCCTCGCGTTTCCTACGCATCAGTTCGGCCTGGTGACGATCACGGCGTTCCTGGTCCGTCTCCTTGCCTTCCAACTGTCGCTGTTGATCACGCAGACGCGACTGCAGCACCTGGTTGCGTGTACCAGAGAGCGACGTGTCCACAGAGCCATGAATGGAGCTATCTTTTCCCTTGCTGGATTTCTTCTTGGACTTCTCCTCCTCTTCGCCGTTGTCGTCATCGATGTCGTAGCGCACCTTACCCCACGCCTTCGGTACCTTCGTGTAGTACTTTGTTTCGTTCTCTAGAACCACCACAGTGTCGGCCAGGAACACGGCGTAGCTGTCCAGTTTCTTCTTCTTGCGCTGCGACTCTGGGATCGGGATATCGTTGAAGCCAAAGGCTACATTGAACGCCATTCCTTCCTTGATCAGCGTCTGGTTCTTGGTCGTGAGCAGGTTGCACGACTCACGGAACTCCAGACCAATACCGAAGCCTAGATTCTTCGTCAGCTTGCCAAACAGCGTCGCATTCCTCGACTGGATGAACTTGCGCACTTTTTCCACCACTTTACCGACGATTTTGCCCGGCTGCAGCTCCTTGACGCACATTTCGTGTGCCTCACGCAGTAATTCGTACGATTTCTCCATCGAACTGGTCGGATCAATGAAGAACGTGCGTCCTACATTGGAGCAGTATCCCTTGTACCTCGCTCCGAGCGAACAGATGATGACGTCGTACTTCATAGGGTCCTTGTTGCTCTGTGCACTGGGCTTGAGGTCGTATTTGCCTCCAGACTGGACAATAGGAGGGTAGCACGGCTCGATATCCACCGGATCGATCGTCACTTTGATCTTGGACGGGTTATCGAACACATCTTCAATGGCCATCGAGATCTTCTCGTGACTAATGGACTTCTCGTCGTCAATAATCTGCTCCATGTCCTCCATGAACTTGAGCTTGAATACTTTACTGGACAGAGCGCCGGCCCAGCGGATGTTCTCGAGTTCTTCACTCTCTTTAACTGTCAGCACCGTCTCGATACCTTTGCCCACCTCAACTTGCTCTACATCTGTGGCCTCGAGAGCCTTCTTAAAGCTGGCTACGAGTTCTCCAAGTGGGTTCTCCTTCGTCAACACGCCCGTCTTGGCGCCACTGGCCTTGATGGCGTCTGTCAGAACCTTAAAGTTGGCCACGTTACCGTCGGCTTTGTTGCGTTTCAGCAGCTCCAGCTTCACGTCTGACGTGGCGTTCTCCTGGGCTACAGCCTCTAGCATCGTGTATTTCTTACCGCCTGTAAGTACGTAGAGTTTCTGGGGCGTAAACACCATCAGAGTCTCAGGGAACTCCAGGAAACCCAGCAGATAGATCTGGAGCACCGCAGACTTGCGGTAGCCGGACTCTTCCTGCTGTGCACGACCCGCAAGCACGCAGAACGAGTCCACCCCACCCCATGCGGGTTCATTTTTGTTTTCCTGCAAATATTAAGAGTTAGTGTGCTAGTAGAGAGCGGTAGAAAGAAGGGTTTCTTACCTTCCACGAGCTGTAGAGACGCTGGAGACGGCGGAAGAACATGGCTGCGTTCAGACGCGGCACGTTGGAGGCGGGGGCCGCCCCCTGCTCTGTCTTGACTTCCGTCTTGACCTCCTGTTTGACCGTCACCTTGTCCTCCGCCATGGCTGTCGGCTCTTGGAGAGAAGGAAGGTGAGTACCGCAACCTTTTCGTCGACTTCGCGCCAAATAGTGGACGAGGTCTTTGGCGCCAGCGCTTTTAGAAATGTTTCTTATTACAGACCAAATTAGCCAATGAGAAGTGTTTCTAAGATTTGGCAATGCGGTTAGAAATAGTAACATGGGTGCAGAAATCTATGCTGCTCTCTGTACCCATATGACTATTCTAATTTTGATGTGGTGCACTTAACCCTTTCAAATCCGCTCTAACAAATATCTCCTCCCGGCAGAGATAAACCAGGTCGGAAGAGTTCGTCAGTCGTGTCCCCCGCCGCCATGCAGCTGCAGACGCTGGCGTACGCCATCTCGGGCGCCTTCACGCTGCTGGCCATTATCCTGTCCGGGTGGCTCATCTGGACGCACTTACTGTATAACCCATCGGCGGGCATTCGCAAGCACGTGATCCGCATCCTCATGATGGTCCCAATTTACGCGTTAACGTCCTACATGGCGCTGGTATTCAACGAGTCCAAGCTGCTGTTCGAGACTGTGCGTGATCTGTACGAAGCCTTCGCGCTCTATTCGTTCCACTGCTTCCTGGTCGAGTATCTGGGCGGCCAGTCCGTTCTAGCCAGCACTATGCGCTCCAAGCCGCAGATGACACACGTTTTCCCCTTCTGCTGTGTTCAGCCCTGGTCCATGGGCGGCAAGTTCCTGCGTCAGACCACCATCGGTATTTTGCAGTATATTCCGATTAAACTGCTCATGAGCATCGTCATGCTCATCACGAGCTTGGCAGGTGTGTATGGAGAGGGTGAGCTCATGAACCCTTTGGTGAGCTACGGCTACGTATGCTTCATCCTCAGTGCGTCACAGACGTGGGCGCTTTACTGTCTACTGATCTTCTTCCACGGAGCCCACGAGGAGCTGCAGCCCATGCGGCCGTGGCCCAAGTTCCTGGCCATTAAGGCAATTATTTTCTTTACGTACTGGCAGTCGATCATGATTAGTGGACTTGTGAGTGTCGGCGTCATCTCGGAGAAGTGGCATATCGGCTGTCCGGACTGCTGGGACGCGCAGAAAATTGCTTCAGCGCTGAATGACTTTGTTATTTGCGTCGAGATGCTGGGGTTTGCCATTGCTCACCATTACGCCTTCGCAATTGAAGACTTTTTGTCGCCGTCGGGTACGGCAGGTGTTAGTGTGCCGTCTTCGAACGTCAAGGCACCGCTACTGGCCAATTTCATGGACGCCATCAACGTTACGGACGTGTCGACGGACCTTAAGAACTCCCGTAATGAGATTCTCACCAAGAAACAGGCACTGGCTGCCAAGTTTGAGCGCCTCAACTCGTCCTCACCTGGCGGCGGCATGTTTTGAAGCGCTCTCCTGCCGTGCCAATTAATGAAAGGATAGCGTCAAATAAGGGAGCGATACAGTAAGCAACACGCCTAATTATTACATTTGGATTTGTACGTTACGGTGGCTTTGGACTCTAAAGCTTAGAGAAACTACAACACGGTTGAGTTAGAGTGGAATTAGAGTAGACAAAGAGAATGAACAAGAACGTTTATGGTATGCGGCACAAGACGATCGATGACACCGACCAAAAAGACATTTTCTTTGCGGGGCGGGTCGAGGCCCCGTCTTCTAACACCGAGAGATTTACAATCCTGTTTCCTGTTGCTGCGACTTCCCCTACTAAGTACTTTAACTACTACGACTTCGTCAGTTCAGCTACAACCACTTTCTTCATTATGTTCCGCGTTTGAAAAAGCGCAGCACAACAGGCCGCTTGACGGCGCGCAAAGTCGCCATTGACGAGTGGAACGTCGAGCCACTGATCTCCATGGGTCCAATCCAAGTGAGCACGTCTCCTACCGACACCTTGTGCAGCATGGGGCCGCCCGAATCCATATCCACTTTTGTCACCTTTGGTACATCGTTGTCCGAGCTAAATACCAGCCCAAGGTTGGCATTTTCCCTCCAGATGAGTTCGTACTCGCGGTCCTTTAGCGCTGGTCCACGAGGCAGCGTCTGATCAGACTCATCGCTTCGCATTGAAGCATACGCCGCGGCTGATGCACGTCGGAAACGCAGCACTGCTGGCTTCGGAAGACGAGACAAGTTCTCGAGGGTTTGCTTGAACTTGGGCTGCGGTACAATGTTCATGTTGTTGGCAGCGAAGAGGATGTCACCCGGTGACACGTGCTCAATGTTCTTGAGGTTACTCGTGCCAGTCACACGCGCCACCACTGGGAATCTTGTCGTCGGATGCACACGTAGTGTCAGACCAAGTGCTGTACCCTCGGGCCATACCACTTCGTACACATCACTGTCCTTCTCCAGTTCTTTCTCCTTGGATCGACTAGTTTCACTGGGTATTTGAGGCGCCGAGCCGTGACGATGTCCACTCCGTGACAAGGGTTTCAATGGTGTATCATCAATGGGGTCGCTAGAAGACTTGGCAAGCGGAGACTTGCGTAGTCCGTGCTCCAGGTTACGCAGTTTATTCTGTGTCTCCGCGATACGATGGCTCATGTCATTCCGATGTGCGTTGCCGTGGTCTGGACTGTTCATCTTCCGAGGAGGTGGGTCCTTGTTGGTGAGCATTACAGGAGCAGCCGTGTGATGTCCTCCTCTTGAACCATGTGGCGAGACTCTGGACGTATTAGACAAGGCGTTCGGTTGCCGTGCATCATGTGCCGATCGCTTCGCCTCCTGATCTGCGTGGCCTCGGTATTTACTTTGTGCTGCTTCCTGCGCAGCGTACTGCTGTGACTGCGATACATGCTGTTGATGTTGTTGATGCTGTTGCTGTGTAGAGTATGCCTGCCTGTCCTGGTGCTTCCTAGACTCGGTCTGCACTTTGGCGGTGGTGACATTAGTAGCGTTCTCCTTGGCGTGGCTTCCAAGAGCTATACTCATCTTCTTGAGCGGATTAATGAAAGTTCGAGGTGTAGGCAGTGGAGATGCCAGTGGCTGTGCAACCTTGGGGGGTGACGGCGCAGCAGCAGGTGCCACGTTCTCACTCGCAGAAGCTGACGACGGGGGAGACGACGTGGAAGATGTGGACGTGGACGAAGATACCGACGTTGATGAGGAAGCCAACGACGACGTCGAAGCTGTAAACTTGGACGCCGAATGGATGTCTGCGGAAGAAGATAAAGCTGCGAGCGCGTCTTCGGGAGAGCCCTTCTTGAACCGAATAACCAGCGGACGCTTGGCTGTACGCAGCTTCAGTAGCGACTCATGGAAAGTCAGATCCTTCACACAGTCGTCGTTAATCCACATGATGCGGTCTCCTGAGCTCACAAACGCTGCCACATTGTTCGGAGCGCCCTTAATCTTCACCTTAATGGACTTTGCACTACCCAAGTCGGCCACAATCATATGGCCAGCAACATTTGGTCGTACAGTGAAGCACAGCGGCTGTTTCTTCTCCCAAATGTGGTCGTATTCATCCTCCGCGGACTCTGGACGCGCTGAAACCTTCTTGTTGCCTGGGCAGAAGAACAGCGATACCGGTTTCTGTACCTTTTGCAGGAACTTAATCGCCGTGTTGAAATTGCCGTCTGCAGTGTTGTAGCTGCCAATCTGAACGAGATAGTGACCTGGCTGCACGTCCTGCACCTGTGGCGAGCGGTTCTTTCCAGTGATACGTGTCACTAGCGGGTACGGCACGTCCTTGCTCGCAATCAGACTAATACCCAGCGGTCCGTCAATCCACTTAATCTCGTACTTGGCCTCCAACTTCACAGCCGGTTGAGGAGGGAATTTTTCATTCTCCGCTGCCGTCAATTCCTCGAATTTCGCCGCCAGCTTCAAGCCAATCGCACTCTTTACCTTCGGTTGTACCGGTTTTACCGCCATCGGGTCTGCCATGAGTCTCCTGAACACCAATTTACACGGCTTGGGCACCTCTTTCAGGTAGTCAATTGCGTCTAAGAACTCCATGTCGCGGGTCACACGATCTCCAATTTTTAGCAACAAATCGCCCACTTCCACGAGATGAATGCCGAAAATCGAGCTTTTACCGGTAATTTTCGACACGGCCGGCATCATCCTGGACTGCGAGTGGCGCAGACGCAGTCCCAGTAGTCCTCCTTCCCAAATCAAAGTGCACATGTTGCCAGCGGCATTATTCGACACACTGGACGTGCTGCCACTCATAGATGCCAGCAAATCCAACGATGAGCGTCTCAAATGCACAAACTCCTCCTCAGCCGGCGCGTGTTCGTTCGGGTCGGTCTTATCATTTGCGTCAGTGTCCAATTTTTTGTCCTTTGTGTCCAAATCGAGGTCCAAATCGAGGTTTTCCAGATCCTCCAGGTCGTCCAGATCGCCTTCGTCCAGCGAGTCGCTGGCGCTGCGAGCGCGCTCGCTGCCTGATGACAGCGTGTCGTCATTGAGATCATCGTCCAGGTCCATATCCAGGCTCTCCAGGATGTCCGCGAGGCTGTCGCGGCCGCCACTGACGCTTCCAGAGCCCATAGCGGGCGTACTGTCGTCGTCCATCGTCTCCTCGCGCGCCTGCTTGGACAACGAGCCGCGCTCGGGCGCCACAGCCCCCGACGGGATCATGATGAGGTCGTCCAGCATGTCGAAGACGTTGTCGCCCAAGTCCGGCTCCACCTTGGCCAGCGAGGACGTTAGCGACTGGCGCGAACCGAGCTGCATGCTCATCTCCATCTGCAGCTGCATTTGCTGCTGAATCTTCTGGTGCAGGTCGAGCTGGTGCGCCAGCAGCTCCTCGTTGGTCATGGGCCCCGCCGAGCTGGCGCCGTCCTGCGGAGACCCGGCGAACATTCCTCCCACACTGGACTCTGCTATAGGAGGGGGAAGAGCGACTGAGTGTGTATTGTACACCGGGACGAGCGAACGTCGAAAGTATGCGGTTTGGATGGTGTGCCAAACACACAAAAATGATGTTATAACGAAATGACATTTGAAGAACCATATTTCTGATCCCTCTTCAAGTGTGGGATAATCAGATCCGCTTTTTCCATACAACCATTCATAAAAAGCGGATCTGATACTCCCACACTTGAAGAGCGAATCAGATAAAACCCACTCTTCAATTGCTGACAGCATCCTGACAGCTGAAGAGCATCATTACTTTCTTGCACTTTCGTGCCACCGACACAGCGCCTCTCCCCCGCGACATTGGGAAGACATACTGCACACGTCACAGATATTTCGGTCTGCGACGTGTGCAAAAGCTGAAAAGCTGACGGCCAGAGCTGTACTGAAGTACATGCAGAAGCACAGAACTAATGAACGCACAGGGCTGCATGTCGGATTCGACGCGACAGCAGATCGTCCAGCGGAGCGACTGGAAACTGAGGCTGGAGAGAGAGATCCAGCGTGTCGATCGCGACGCCAGTCCGCTCTTTTGTTCGGCAGCGGCGCCCAAACGGGGCGTGTTGACAGGCAGGAAGACAGCGTTGAAGGCACACCGCCACTGTGAATTTGCCTTGAATCCTGTGGACTACCGGTATACTGCGCGCGGACAGATGGCGAGCGGGAACGGCGATCACCAACGTACAGTAGCCGGAGCTGTCAAGCTAGCGAGCGTAAAGCTCACTTCTCCGTGAGAACGACGTTCCGCCCCGAAAAATCCACCGGCATTTCGGTGGCGATGCTTGTCAATTGCCAGTGCTGCGCTGGTTGGTAATGATGAAGTGGTGAAGTTCATGCTGCGTAGCTTGAGCACGTGCGACTTGCCCGTGCAACAAGCCGACGACGAGCTCAATCGAACGAGGCAAAGCCCCCGCGATCTTGTTCAATTGCGGGCAGATGAGCGCAGCGATGTACACTTTTGCCTTCCCGGGGTGGAAGAGCGTTTCATAGCGAAATCGTGAGCAGAGACACAAGGTCGTTCGGAGGTAGGCGGTAAGGATGCTAATCGACAAGTTCGTGTATTGTGGTGGTCATGACCAAGTTGCAACTTCAGTACAAGTACGTACAGCGAGCTGACACACAATTCCTGCAGTGAAATTCTGGCCAATTCTCGGGCGTGAATTAAGTTCAAAGTCGATGAAAGCTGGCCAGAAACCACGTGTGCTCCTTTGTTGTAGGTGGCAACTAAACGATGAGAGATCTGCTGGACAGCCAAGAGATGGATGCGTAGTTACTTACCAGGTGGGTGCGCGCTTCCAGGGCCACACCTACAAGCAATACGTCGAAGAGGAAGCGCAACAGGAAGAATGGGTGCGGCAGCAACAACACTAGCGACCAAATGTCGACTATCACGATTGCTGCAAGTTCGAAGATCATTTGACAAGTAAGAAGTGATGGTAAACGCTGCAGTCGGACGATTAAACCTGTCGCGGTCAATGTTCATACCGGGGAGGTACACCGTCAGCAGCACATTCTTTTCGAAACTGGTTACCACGACCAAAAAGCCGTTGCTTAAGAGCATTAGCATGGCAATCACGAAAAGAGTGGGGCGTACGAAGATTACACGTTGAACACTTTCTATCCCTTTCGGAGATTCGTAGGCGTCAACATGCTACCAGCCGTCTATGGCGCAAGTAAGATACACACGGGTTACAACGAAAGTGATTTTTTTTTCAACGAACCCATGTCAGCGGGGCAGAGTAACGCGACCGTGAGTAGGGAGTTGGTTACTGCGAATACATCTATCGATTGCTGAACGAGTCATCAAAATCTACAGACAGCATCGTGTTTTATTTTTCCAGTAAGGTACATTATTGTCATTTAGCTCAAACTAATAAGCGTCGTGGGCCACACCAAGGTGTACTCATTTCAACATGATAACATCATACCCGTGGTGAGTTATCATCACCCTGTCCAGGGTTCGGAGATGAATCGGAAGTTAAAGCAGAGGAACGCCCTGTCGCGGATAAACCCAAGAGCGAAGAGCGATCGTCCATCCATTGTCAGAAGCTGAACTGGAGCTGCTTGCTGCTGTTCTTTGCTATTGCTGGCTGTGGCATTTCTGTCCGATGAAAAGCAGATTGCGGTCATTCACTTCCGGTCTGCAATGGAAAATCACTCGACCTTCACGGTGGGTCAAGCATGGAGTGTCCATCGCAATATGCGAAGACTGAGTGGCTCCATTCAAGAAAAATTCATCCGCAGATTCCATCATACAGTCTTGTATTAAGCTACATTTAACTACTGTAAATGTCGTGATAAAGTTTTCAACGATGAGACCAGCAAGCGTCCTGAAGCGCGGACGTTTCAGGTCGCTGGAATAGCAGCCGTAAATAATTCAACGCCACATCACTGCCTTCATCACGAGAAAAGAGTAGAACAGAGCGCCTCGCGTTTATCCCCCCAACGTGCTCTGTCCACAATGCAGCGGAATCGAACCATCTCCGGTATGACCGTAGCGCGAAGAACGTCAATTCTTGTGCTGACTTGATCTCTCTTTCGTTATATAGAGCACCCGACAGTCGAATCAAATCCATTCACGCTTCCGTCCGATGAGGAAGTTTTTCGTATGCGCGAGACGGAGAAGCAGCGAAAGGAAGAGGTGCGTCCCAGCTGACTATCCGATCTGTACTTGAAGCTACAGTCTCATGAGGATTCTACAGGAAAAGAGCAAGAACTCGCGACTCAAGATCTACGATAAAACCACGGCGTCGTCCAAGATTGGAAATATTCGTCGCTTCCGCTCCGATGACGCGGTGAGGCAACATTCAGAACAGCAGTTAATGCATCTAAACATTGTACATAACTGACTGGAGTCTTTGATTCTAGCCTACGGGTCTAGATAACTACTCAGCGTCTCAGTCTCGTCAAACTCGAGGTCTCGTTGCCGCAGCGACCGCCACCATTTCCAACGATCGACTGCGCGAAAAGGAGAACATGGCAGATTTCATTGCCAAGAAGCGCGAGATGTTTCTCGTGCAGATGTCGCTGGACACAAAGCGAGAAGAGATCCGTAAACTTGAAGAGAAGGCTCAACTTAAAGAAGAAGCGTTGAAGAAGAGTGAGCTGATGCTTGAAGAAGACGCCGTACGTTTCGATACCTTCTTAAAGGAGAACGACAAGAAAGCTCATGAAGCTATCAAGCGAGCCGAGAAGGAGACCAAGGCCAAAGCCGATAAAGTGCAGGAGATCAAGAAACTCAACCAGCAGATCCAACTCGTACAGAGCGACATGTCCAAGCTGAGCGAGCAGCTTCAAGACTGTCTACAGTACAAAGCGTTCTTAGATGAACTCACTCCTCAAGAGTACGGGATCGAACAGCAAGACAAGAAACGAGCTCGACAAATGGCTCGCCTGCAGAAGCGCAAAGACAAGATTTTACGCGAGTGGGAACTGCAGAAGGCCAAAGTTCTAGCTGAGATCGAAGAGCGCGAGCGAGCCGAAAAAGAGCGTCCGGACTCCAAGAACGGCAAGAAAAAAGTGGACAAAGCCGTCAAAGTCAAGGAGTTGACGATCCCACCGATGCCCAATCTGGACAACATGCCGCTCACTAGCAGCGGAGAGGAGATCCCCATGTACTTCCAGAACCCGCAGCAATTACTAGACATCTTCACTGCGTTAGAAGAGAGCAATCTCTTCTTGATTCAGAACAGTCAGGAGACCGAACAAACACTCGAAGAACTTAAGCAAAACTACCGCGAGACCAAGAAAACTATGGACCGTAAGACGCAGGCGCTTAAGTCAAATGTCGACGGGTTACAGCAACAGATCAGTATCGAGGAGAGCAAAGCCAGTCAATTACGCCTGAGGTCTCAAGGAGGGACGGGTGAGAACGCACAGGAACGAATGCTGAAGGAACTACAGGATCGAGTACTGGAAGTCTACAAACGTTGTGGCTTTGAGGCTGAGACCAACTCATCGACGCTCTACATGCTCACAGATCTGGAAGCTCGTCTGGAAGATCTATTGAGTGCAATTGAGCAGATGCCGGAGGATTATGTGGCTAAAGCTGAGAAGGAGAAGGAAAAGGAACGCAGAGAACGAGTCCGACAAGAACGAATCGCGCAGCAGCAGAAAATGTATGAGGAACGGATGAAGAAATCCATGGAGAGAAGTATGCAGGCACCCAAGAAGCGTAAGGGAAGACAAGTCATGTGGCGATCGCAGCCTGCTCGACACATCAAGCATGCCGAAGACGACAATAAAGTGGACCAAGGGGACGAGGCTGACCACCACCATTTTATCTGGTAGAATGGGAGATTTTACAAAACTTAATAAATTTCACTTATTTTCTCGATGTGTCATAAATTCCATCCTCCAAATTTACGATCCTGAAGTGAGCTGCTGCTGGTTTGTTTTCGGGTGAACCACGGATGATAGTGAGTTTATCATTCACTGGTTCTTTGACGGCGACCCAGCCGCCTAGTCCGAAGTAGCTGGATAAACAGAAAATTGGTGTGCTTGCCTTGGACTCGACGAGGAATTGTTCGTATGAGTTGAAATCGACTCCTTGCACTTTCAAGTTTCCGTATCGGTTGATACCCAAAAAGTTACTTGACTTTTCACTTTGGAAACCCCATACATCACTGTCGTCTCCCAGAGTGTACGCACGAAATGTACAGCCATCAACTACAATGTCAGCACTAAGATTCATAACAGTTGTGTTAGAAAATCCCCAAATAGGAAACAATCATCCTGCCACATACCTTAGCAGTGCCTCTCCGTCTACATCACGCAAAAACTTTCCCGTCTGGACCTCTTGAAATGCACAACGAAAGCGGAAAATCGCGGGTACTTTCTTTCCCATGATCTTGTTGGCCTGAATCCCCACTTTCTTCATGTCGTGGTGAACTCGCCCAATTTTTGAGTCCAATCGATCCAACTGCTCGTTATGTGTATCCAGTGCACTCCCTAATGCCAACGACTGCAGTTTTAGCTCTGCAAGTTGTGGCTCCAAGTCGCGAAGAAATTTATCATGGATGTCTTCAATGGACTCTACCGCACGATTCTGCTGCTGTAAGTGACCATTATCAGGTCGTTTCCCCACCAAATTGAGGGGACTGCGCTCTTTACTCGACGTTGGCTCATGGACATTGCCGTAATGCATCCCAAGCTGATCAGCTGACTGAAATTTGACTTTGCATTCTGGGCAAATAAATCCCATTGCAATCTACAAATTCACAAGAATCTGGTTAGAGTTCGCCACCTTTTCCACACAATTCAATACTGGTATACCTTACTTCATGTGGTTCTTTACTGTTCGAGAGCTGCGGAGCTGCTGAGAGTTTGTTGTAAAACCAACCAGACCACGTCATTCCGCGGAGAACACGCTTGGACATGTCCACGGTGGCCTGGGTCTCGTCTACCATGCCTTCGCTGCGGCCAAGCTGCTCTGCCTGCATGCTGAGAGTGTGCGCCGTTGCTCTCCCCAATTGGAGAGACTCGGCCGTGTCTCGCAGCGCCTGCGTGTGTCGTTGCCCCCATTCGTGCTCCGACACTATTTGACGCTGAGTCGCCATTTTGGTATGGAAGAATTTGATTCATGAATTATTGCATTGTCGTACTTAATAGGGACATCAACATCTGTAGCCAAGTCGAAATCGACTCTACCGCTTCACGAAATGCATGCGATGATTTTTTTTGGCTTCTTCGGCGATCTACTGTTCGCCAAACTACATCAAGGTACAAAATAATTGTTGTTTTGGATAGTATTCCACTTGAAAAAGGAGTCTTTGAAATCATCGCACTTGAGAAGACACTTTCCATCAGGGCTCCCGATTATGGCATTGTTATTTATCGGAAGCTTCGACGTCGGATAAATGATGACATCGTGTAGCTAGTAGTGCTTCATAAATTATGTCATAACTAAGTAGCAACAAATAAATAAGATCATTATGAACTGAAGAGCAAAGCAACAGCAGGTTAACAATTAACGTGTAGCCTCATCTACCGTCTGCGCTGTCCAGTACACGTTATTCTGTCGCAGAAAGAGAACCATCTCCAGAGTGATGGGGTTTAAACTGTGGCGCTCTTGTCCGTAAGTCGTTCGGGCGACGCTAAAAAATCTCTCCACAATATTGGAGGTGGGTGGGATACACCCCAGCAGCTCGTACTCGGGCATTGATTCCTCACGGCGCCGCCTTTTTTGAAGTATTTGAACGAACGAGCTGCCATCGTCACTGTCGCTCGTTCCTTCAGTAGATCTTTCTTCAATGCAGCGAAATGGCAGCAGAGCTGCCTTTTCGGCTCTTGTTAGGCGATTGTTGCCACTGAGGATCCGGACACATCCCGACTCGAAGTCGGGACTGTGCACGATGTCTGCGTGAGCTCCTACAACATACAAAAGATAAGTATTAGTACATTTTGCATGTGGTTGATTCCAGTAGCAACTTACCCAAATAGCTCGCATAGTGCGGCTTTACGGTAATTAACCCGTCAAACCACACCCGTACGTCCGCCAAAGAAACGTGTTCACCTTGTAGGGCCTTGGAAACAGACTCAACCTTCTTCAGGTCCTTCAGCAGCGACAGTAGCCGTTTGTTGCACGCTGGGGCAGGAAGAACGTCCACAAGAGCATCATCGGTAGGGTCGATGTGCTCCAGCAACTTAAAATATCTATTTATCATGTCAAAAGTGGAGCTCCATCGTGTATCCTGTCGGGTCACTGGACGGAGTGTAGTTTTCGACCTACACATAATACCACATTATATTAAAAATAAAAATAATAAACACAAATAAAGTTAGCACTGTAATTCTCCCATAGTAGCAAGTAGACACATATACCTGAGTTTAGCAGATTGCTTTAGAGTCCGCAGGCGCACCATCAGCGCTTGAACTAAATCCAAGTCGTCTGCATACTGCTCCATATCAACTTGAACCGCCCTGTTAAGCCGGTGACTAGCACATCCCACTAGCGGGACGCCCATGAGTGTAGCTAAAAGCCTATTGACAGAACAATTATCCCCAACAACAAAAAGGCAGTCGCTGAGCTGCTTACCGAAGTCGCGGGGCAGCATTTCGGCTAGAAACTCCATGTGGCCACGTGCCGAAAGGTCCTCGTCGTGTTCATTCAGCAAGGGAGCCATGCTGAGGAGCGGGGTCTTGGTGACACCGCGAACTTCGTAGCAGGCGAAGACGGCGAGGAAATGCTCAGAGGCGTGACTCCACCCGTCCAGAATGAGCCCAAACCGTTCCGGTAATTCGGCAGCGATGCAACGCTCCACAATCCGAGTAAGGCTTTCCATGGCGCTGATCAGTGTCTCGACACAAATTGGGTCCAAATTGGAGTAGCTGACAGCACAAAAAATAGTCAGACTATAAAATACATATCATAATGGAACTAAGTCTAAACTTACCGCCTTGCAGCTTGGTTCTCGCAGAAGTGGAGAGGAAGGTTACTCTTGATGATCCAGTCGAGCCAGCCGTAAACGTTAAGCGCCGACTGTCGTACGTAGTTAAGCATAGACCCTGTTTCAGCCGTAGACGCGTTCAGCATCACCGCCTCGTAGTCTGGGTGCTCACGACGCACATGTTGCATCAGATTTGAGTACCCATTTCGACGGGTCTGCTTCCGAACCGTGCCACACCGACAGCGATAATACTCCAGGATTACTTCGTCGTATTCGTCGCGGTGCGGACGGAAGTAGAACCCGGAAACCTGGGCAGGGGTGAACGTAGCGTGGCGAGAGTGGCGTGCGAGGACCATGGTGGATGGAGATGGTTAGACGGTGATGTAGTGAGCTCAAAATGAAGAGTGAGGTGCTAAGCAAACTGTGATGAGCTCAAGGGTCAATGACCTGGTAAGTTTTGTATGATTGAACTAGTAAAGTCTTCATGGTTGGACGGGAGAGCTCCATAATTTTAAAGGGGTAATTATGATCAATTATGAGAGATTTTTGGTTAATCAAATAAATTATCAGTTTCATTCAGGATTCATCTAAAATAAATATATTTATGATTTCATAAGAAATTATTGAATAGACAATGCCATAAACGGGAGCCCTGCTTTCCATGTCCCCAACTTGCCTGGAGAAGGTATCATTACGGCGAAGGCGGCCAAGGTGCCGCCAGTATTAAAACGTTGCTGATCTGGAGGCAGAAATCATGGCTGCATGGGACTCCATTCAGGTAGACTACTTGCTGAAGCTGATAGAGTCCATGCTGGTGCCCAAACCTTGAATTTGTATACCAGCCCTGTCAGATACATTGAAATCTAAGTTGTTAACACAAGTGGCACCTCTGTAAGCCTAATAGAGAGAACATATCAAAGTAGCAGCTCCCAACTCAGGCTAGAAACCGAGATATTGTCAGAAGTGTCCCGCCAGATCGGGGGTCTTAATGATTTGGCGGGCACTGTATCAACCTTTAACCTGTGTAGTGAGAGTACCGTAGCAAGCAAGGAGACCAAATCAACTGTTGTGACACAACACGCTGACCAAATGCTTAAGGTAAGAGATACAAACTTCGCAATACCAAATGCACACCAGAAAACAGATCATCGGTTAAGAACCTCTTAGTAAACTACTTCTCCAAATTACCAAAGGTAAAGTAACAAAGTATCTTCATGAAGGCGACAAACATCCACAGAATTAGATTCGAACGTGCCAACATCAAAACCGATGTCCCGTATAGCAATTGATCCTTAGTGCCATATCAGCATGGAGGTGTCTCCGCCACATGGGAACAATCGATGACACTGGTGTTTTTAGCGAGCTGCTCGCGTTCAACAACAATCCCGTCTTGCGCAGTGAGGTGCAACGAATTGTGCAGTGAACCGCTTCTCGAAGCTAGAATTCGTCGTACATGCTGGAGGTGCATCATGAATGCCAATAGCCCAAAGAAAACTGGCCGAACGTCAAGGTAATCACGCGGCCATTTTGCGTGAGCAAAATACGCCTCCAGAACTTCTACCGTCTTTACACTAAGCTTCAGTGGGTTGCATTGCACTAAATAGCCGCTTAGTTGAGCTGGATCCAGTAAAAAGCTGCACGCCGAGCTCCAGCTGGAAGCCCCGATGATTTCCCGGGGTTTCTGCCACGAATACTCAGGGTGAAGTAGCACTCGCGTAGCCTCAACCAGCACAGCCTCTGCTACCAGATAAGCATCAAAAGCAGACGCACGGTCACTCTCGCTATCGCCGTCGTCTAGACATACAGGATCGAGCTCGGCTATCTGACAAGCTGCGTGGTTTAATGACTGTAAAGCTTCTAGGAGGTCGTTGTCGCGGGAATCTCGACTGACATCATTATTGTCACCTACAATATATGCCACGTGACAGGGAAGATCGTGGTTGTCCGGGTACAGCCACCAATGCAGCTCATGCACGAACACGTTGGCGTTTTCCACCGTCACACCACAGTTAGCGTTGAAAAGGACAGCGACTTGATCCCGTGCTAGTACATGCAAAAGGGTTTCTCGTGCATGAATACCTTCTTCACTAACTGTATGACCATCGTTTTCAAAATGCAAGAAACCATTTTTGCTGCAGTCGAAAGACGCAAAATAATGCTCCAACAATGGTAGCAACCACATTATCATGGATGAAGACATTGTAGATGCAACAACGATAATTATTGGTGGAAGAAGCGCTGCACGTCGTTCACAGTATCCATGGTAGATCACTTCCAATGCCTCGGGCGCTATAGCACCTGCATGAATGATAAGTTCTTTGACTGCATGTAGCCGGCGATGTTGAATTATGGCACAATTGGAACAACTTGACAAGTGCTCGGGTGATGTCTCAGGCACCGGGTGCTCGAATAATTTCGTACGTGCGTTGGTGTAGGCTAAGCACGAAGGACACTCCTCATCTTCGCTGTTTGCCAAACCAGCAGCAAATCGACGCAAAGCATTAGAACAGCGAAGATAATCAGATAGTGTGATACGGAGGGACTGGCGTGTTGGTAAACCTCCTAGTGAAAATTGCGACGATAGAGTTGGACGGAGCCACGTGATTTCGAACAGTAAATGTGCTCGGAATTCCGTCTTTTGCTGGACGATAAAGACCGCGATAAAGCAGAAAACACCGCTGATTTTACACGCGTATTTAGCGAGACGTAGCACACGGACGTAGTTCGCCAGCTTTTCTGCCCATTTAGGAGATATAGTCGCCTTCCACTTAAAATGAAAAGCCTGGCTAGACTCCTTCGTTGGTTCTAGAAGTGGAGTCTGTTCGAAGCGTATCAACGATAGTAAATCTGCAAAATTCGATGATGAAAGATGGACGTTATACGGGTTGACTGTGCGTTTGTAGAGTGTCAGCTTGTTTACAGACGAAGAAATTACTTGTTGTACAGCGTCACCTTTCCTGGGTTTTGGGATAAGCTCCACCGTGTACTCGGTATCACTTGTATCGTACATGTGAACGGCATATCTTATGCGATTCACAATAACTTCGCTCGAATAAATTCTCTGTCCGATATCGGTAGTTGGAAACGTTATCGTAATTTCTTTCTCCTCATTCTTGAATGTACCCTCATGGTGTTTCCATACTATTACTGCATGATCAGTAGATCTCCACTGGACATCCAGTTCACTACCAATAACCAAGCAACGAGCTGCAACCTCATGCTCCGTAAGTAAATAATCGTGGTTACGCCACAATCCCACTACAAAGCGAACACTCGACCGGTCATCCGTTCTCACATACACAGCCACGAGCAAATAGCTGTTTGTCGCTGAGCTTCTCATTTTCATCCCTTCTTTATGAAGACAGACGAGCGTTTGGTCGTTTTCGCGTATCCGAAGTGGACGAGGACATGAGGCCCCAGACCAGACAAGTCGGAACTGTCGACGTCGTTTCTCGTACAGCAAACAGAGCCACTTACAGAATGTCCCCAATCCTTCGCTCGTGCAGCCATATCCAAGTGAATTGAATTCTCGAAGTGTCATTATCAGAGTGAATGTAGCAGACGAAATTGGGTCGTACGCAATGATACGAAGTCCCTCCAAATCGTACCCACGAGGGTTCCGAGTGTGCACAGAAATCAAAAATCGTTTCCCGTTCATTTCGTGCACACACTTAAACATAGCGCACGATGCCACTCGATTCATTAGTTCTTTTTGAGCCCTCAGTTGTGCCTTTCTCTTTGCTTCACGCTCCGTTAATCGAGATACAGTGTCTTCATATTTCATAGCCACATTTTCAGCACGTCTGGAATTTACCATGTGCTTGTTTTCCTTTGCAATGCGAGCTTGTTGCTCAATACGCGCTCGTTTAAGATAAACCATCCGTTGACGTTTCTCTTCCAGCTGAAGATTTAAAGTCTCGCGGTTTAACTCAGGAACCCTGGATTCCTTCTTTATGATCACATGAATATCGCTTTCAATGTCCGCTGTGATGTCACCGTACAAGGTGTTACGTGTCACCTCTGGATCAGACTCGGGACAGGCCTGGTGCAGCATCTGCGGCTTTCTTTTTTTCGATCGCAGCATCACACTACGTTCTTCCGTCTTTTTACAGATTCCTTCACGTCTTACCGCTTCTTCTTCCTTTTTCTTGTTCTGCCTAGTCATTCGTAGCTTCTCCTGCGGAGAAGAACCGTTTTATCCGGTAAGTTACTGACATGTGTTCCGCCGTATCACATCCAAGACAAGAGTAAATGATACCTTCTCCATCCTCAGCTCGTTCATCCGATATTTGCACGTTTCCAATGCCTGGTCAAAGTGATTCTCCTCTCCCTTTAGCACTACAAGGCATTGCTCCATTTTTTCTACCAACGTAGCAATATAGCTGAGTGTCTTTTGTCGGTACTTCTCGCGGCAGCCCCTACAAGTAAGATCATTACAGTAAAAGTGCTACTTAGGGCTGACAAGGCGCTAACAAGGCGGAATCATACCTGATATAGGGATCTTCTGTGAGATCGCACTCACGTTTTAGCTCTGCCCACCTCATCTTACAAGTACCAGATAACTTCAACGGTGAACTATCAAAAAAAAAAAAACAGGAGAAACGGTACCTGGTTCCTCAAGTCTTGAAGTGTACGTTCAACCTGCGCACGTTCTCGACGAAGTAGAGACGATCGGTATTCTGCTGTCCTGACATGAAAACATAAAATAAGAACATCGTCCATTGTCGTGGTAAAGAGAATGACATACTTCTGGAGGGAGTTCAACGCTGCAATCACCTCGTACACTACTGGAGACTCTGCGTTCTTATCGACACTGTTGTGTTCAAACACCGATGGTCCTCGGCCCACGTACTCTTCAACTGCCTTCAGTGCCTGCATCCTGCCGTGCAAACTCTCTTCATCCAGTAGTATTTGCTGAGCAGCAACAGTACGCGACCCACTCACTACCTCACCTTCAGGGCTAATGCCAACCAAAGGCTTTACTAGAGGCTGTGGAGGTGTGTACTTCTTCCAGTGGGTCTTACAAACTGAAGTTAGCTGGGGTTCCACTGGCTTCAATGACGATAGAGCAGTATCTTTCTTATTGGCAAGCCTCTTATTCTGTCGCCAGCTACCAGAGCTCCAATATTTCAGCGAGCGATCTTCATGAACATTAATTTGAAGTCGGGAACTGACGATATCGTCGAGAGCCCTGTCGACGATGAATGGATTGCGAAGAAGACCGAATCCAAGCCACTCCACTAAATCTCCAACCTGGTCCAGAAAGTCGAGATCTTCACACATGCTTAGCAGATAGTTTTCGCGTTTGTAAATGTATGGCTGAGGAATTCCATCGTGAACAATTTTTCGCCAAATCTCTATGTTCTCCACGACATCCACCGAAGCCGCCCGTGTAAGTAGGAGTAAATCACCCAAGATGTGGATTTCTTTGCCTTTCACAACGTCTGGGGACTGATATCCCGTACGCGTTGTTTTCTGCTGGTTGGATTTCGTAAAAACCGTACAATTCGGTTGTCTAACTAGTGTCTCCGTCCATGAAGTTGGAGCAATGCTTGAGAGCAGTGCACGGAGCTTCACCTTGTACTCCTCTCTTACTGTAATGCTACTCGACACCGCAAATTCTGCCTCATGGGTTGTGGTGACTGCTCTCGCGACCCCACTAACTCCCCGTGTTGTTTGCTGCATTGAGCGCAGTTTTTAAACAAGCGGCACCTGTAACGACTTTGGGGACGCAGCAATACAATAACAATAACATTAACGAGCCATTTCAAAACTACAGTGTAGAAAAAAATTTATCAGTAAAGTTTTGTCCTTCGTATATCGAGTGTGGCTTCAATACCCACAGTGCACACGATCACATGCGCTTTACCGTATATTTAATGCACTGGAATTGGCTTCTCATCTTCGAGGCATGAAAATCGATGCCTCAGTTCGCGGGAAAAAAAGGAGCCATTTATTTTTAAGATTTTTATACCCCGCAGTGCTGATTCAGCCTGTTTCAAAAAAAAAAACAGAGCTGAAGTATGATATGCGATCACACTAATCTTGCAACTTCCGATGCTGCTTCCGAAGATTATCGCATGACCTACGATCATGATCACGCGGATGCCGACACTGTGGTGAGTATGGACAACAGTAAATCTGGTACTTCTTTAGAGGCTGCGCAGCCGCGAAGTATTTGATGGACTTACAGCTTCAGCTGAGGAAACATCAGAGACAGTCATTCAAGCATCTTTGAGTAGCATCTGTTTACGTTTGTTAAAGGAGCTGAACCAAGTTAAAGGTGCGCAAAATTTTACTGTCATATTGGTTGCGTAAGAGGACTTTTGCGACTTAACATGAAAGCAAAGGAAAACTCAAATAAAACCCGACCGTCCCGGAGAGAATTGACCACGAGAATAAATATGTAGAACAGACGAGCATAGAAGACCGTTATGCCGCGCTTAGTGCTGACTGAGGAAAGAAGCTTGTTTTGCTGCTCTTAGTATCGATCGTGGTCTGGTTCTGAACGGAAAAGGAATGTTCTGCCTCATGGTGAACCTTGATAGAAGCGAATTGCAATGAGATCAACATGTAAGTTATGATCAACCGAGATGTAGCTATCTGTATTCTGATGAGTTTAACCGTATAAAACCAGCTCGCAATAGCAAAGAGGAAGGAGAGGCATCGCGCAGAAGAGGAAAACGTAGACTTCTCGTGGATTATTTGGAGTTTCTACTGTCGATTTATTTTACCCTTCTCCTGCAAGGTAAGTGCGTTAATGTTCATTTTTTTTTTTTAACTCTTACTGACGTTGCCGTTCGAACTGTGCGCGAGTGCGGTTTCTTTTTGACAGAAGATTTAGAATTGGGTTTTATTTCAAGCCCTTGGCGCCAAAATGTAGATCCTCATTGACGTTAAATCTTAGAATTTCCGTCAACATCAAGCGATGGGGCGCAGTCATGTCGTGTTGAAGTGTTACCTAATCCGCCTTAGGCGGACGGAGCCTCTTCTTGGGTGAGGAGCGGTGGGTTAGCTGCTTCTAGATGCAAGGATAAAACCAAAATGACAGCTCTACCTAACGTTGCGCGAGTCTCTTGTGGGAGAGACGTTAGGACGATGCTCAACTTCTTGGGTGTTCTCGCTTCCTGATCACCGGGAAAACAGCCTTCCCTCTGTAAACATCGGGCAACCGTCCATGTGACCAATGGATGGGGCACAAAACTTGGTGTGGGTTTTAAAATGTGACACCTTTAGACAAACCCGCTGTTAGCTAGAGATACTCTAATGTCCTAAACGTGTCCTAAATGTCGTAAAATGTTCTGAACTAGAGGGATTGGGCTGACAGTGTCGTATTTTTTCGGGGCCAACATAATCCAAGGGATCGCTAAGCGCCTTGAACTTCTGGAAGCCTTAATGCAGATTATCAAATCTTCAAGACGAAGTATCTGGAGAAAAAATGGCAGATAGAATATTTTTGAGGAATCCGTTCATCATTGCATTTTTTTTGCTGTCAGTTTGCCCTGCTTTTACCCATATTGATAGTATCGTACCGCTGCGGTAGGCACGCGGTACTACCGCGTGCCTTTGAAGCCTGCAAAGCAAGCATTGACACTCAAATATCAACACAAGGCTACCTCAAAGCATGGTTTATTTGCATTCGCTACAGGATCATCGCCTAGCAAAATGACTGGAAGAGGCAAGTTGAGATTATATATATATATTACTTCTAGATACCAATATCTCTAAAACCACGCGATTTGAACTATTCCGCCGCTTCATTTGCGGCTGATTCGGCCCATGAACAACCTACGAGAGCTTGCTAAAATGTACAGCAGTAAAGATTCTATATAGGTATTGTAAAATAACTGGAAAAATCATTTTATACCCGACCAAATGGGCTTGTAATGCTTCCTGCAATCTGATTCGTTCTATTGCCACCCGGGGTTGACGCCTTGAATAAATTTTGGGACTTGTGCTGCATGTTGGACTGTCGGTCTTCGAGGAGTGTGGCTTATTTGAGCCGTTTTCTCCACTCTTTTTTTATAGTCCGTATTTCATAGTACCAGAACATGTTGTAGTCCTTGTCCGCTTGTATCTTTATGGAATCTGCAGAGTCAAGGGTTCTACTAACATATACTTATGTTGTACTAAGTACATTCAACTGCACACGTGACTGAATCTCTGATACCTATTTCTTGTAGTTTTCGTTTGGTAAAAGTAAGTGTATTCCCAGCTAAGTCGAAGACGATCTAAGTCTGTGATTTGCTAGTAGTCTTATGCTTGAGCATGAGATATGGGTGCTCGCAGAAGCGATGAGGTAGTCTGCTATTTTTCAGAGTCATTAAAGCTACTCCCAAGAGGGTACACCCTTCGCCAATGCCTGTCCCACCAAGCTGTTTTACGACGCGCTCTAGTTTAAATGCAATACTGAGACGCAGCAATATACCAACTAAAACATACCGTAAACAGCAGAGCCACTAAATCGAAGGGTAGGCAAAACGTTACATTGGAGCTGACAGTAATGGGCTTCGCCCAAATAGTAGTAGTATACCTCGAGCATGGTACATTGATGTCATTCATCATCTAACCACGTAAATCTCGTGCACAATACTTCAATGAAGTATAATAGTCTATGATTCTCTTTATAATCGCATAGATCATAAAGGTCAGTAGTGATTGACGACGTTAGTCTGCAGTGGTATTTAAGATAGAGAACGCGTGATTCTCGTGAAATCGTCTTAAGGAAGTACATGCTATCAAGCGTGGAACACCTGGATTATAAACAAGTTTGTTTCGCGAACAATGCCAGTTAGCAAGCCTAATGCATTAAAGCATTAACCAACTAAACTTAGTGTTGGGTACTTATTAAGTATATCGTATGCTTGACGAAGTACCAACGTATCCACGGCTTTTAAAAGCCGTTCGTTTAGTAAGAACGTTGTGCAGAAGAATGCTCTCAGCCATCTTCTTCGACATCGCTTCGCCCTTAACTTCGAGATGATACATCCGCAGGTATTTGACAAGAGCGTTCCAGTTCTCGTGCTGCGTTGCTGCTTGTCTCGAAGTAATATCCACATCTCTAGCGAACTGCTGCACGTTCATCCTACTTTGAAGTCGGGGTGTAAGCCAATCAGCCACCGTTTCCGCCTTGTTTCGAGGGATTCCCTTGATATTCGACCATGCTGCTCTTTCTTCTCCATTGTCGTCTTCAGTTGGTTCAGCAGCTCGAAGAGAGCGGCGATTATCGTATGTTTCGACGACTCCAGTCGACTTCATTACGTCCGCCACGGCAAGATGAGAGAAACCCGATTTTGCTTCTCCCTTGGTCAGAAGGGCAGTAGCAGCTATCAGTAGGACGAAATAGGCCCGCATTGGATGATCTTTGATGAATAACGGTTGGTCGTCTTGACTGACTTGAGTGCGGTAAAACAAATTTGAGAATGAGAACGAGTTATGAGCTGGCTCAGTAAACGCAAGCCGTCTACTCTAGTCTTCACGGCGGGTGCCCGAAGTGTAAACTAGAGTAAACAGCATGTGTTGTTTATACGGCCAGCGATGAGCGACTGGACTCGAGCGATCATGGTACTCTAGATTACGGTGAGCAGAATAATCGCTCTCGTCAATACGGATCAATGGTGAGACAAGACTTACTTTATCATGGCCACCGACTCGGCGGCATCGAAGTACAGTAGTACAATAATTTGCCTTAATACCGAGGTCATATAATGTTATAACTCTTAAGGCAATGTCTGCGTATCCCTGACTATTATTATGTTTCGTAGTAAACCACACCTCTACTAGTCGCTTTTTACTATAATGTCGTGCTTCGCACACGGATCTTAACCACCAGGTACAGTAGCGTTATGCCCGAGCATCAATCCTTTCAATGAACAAACCGCCCTGTACCCAAACCAAAATCATGAGCCCTAGCCCTTCTACCTACCGGAGAAGAGGTACAGATTAACGCCGCCTAGTTATTATGCAGGCCGTTCTTGATCAAGTATAGCAAATTGATTATGTTAAAAAGGCGGTTGATGTGGTGCAGATTTCTGAAATTTGGTGAGATCCGAACGAAATATTTCAAATCTGGAAATATATGGAAATATCTGACGATACACCAGAGTTTCCAAGGACTCTATTGTGACCCTTTCAGAAGTTGATTGTCGATGAAATCGGCTTAGAATGGACGAGCATGTGATTTTATGTCGATGCATACCACGGATTCGTACTACCACTAGGTAAAACCTTTGATTTTGACCATATTAGGCTGGGTTTTGTCTATCATCATATTATATCAAGTTTAGAGTTAGGCAGTATTACAAAGTGACTTTACAAAAAGAAAGTCTACCAGTTCGGTGGAATCACATCCTATCAGAATTGCGAGTTCATCTTAGACCATTAAAGGGTCTGGTACAGATGAAAATTTCATCTGTACCAGGTATTAATAATAATTCCACGCGGCA